ACCCAGGGGAGCTGACCTGGAGCGGCCGGCACCTTGCTGGCCACCGGTGTGAGTGACGCCAGCACGGAGCAGAGCCCAGCCTAGTTCAGCTCAGTTCTGAACAGCCCTGGGTGAGCGCTTCTCCGGGTCAGGGCACAGGCCTGGAGCGAAGCTGCTCTCAGCAGAGCGCAGAAGCAGCAAGGAGGGCGGCTCTGGGGAGAAGCAGCAGCGAAGTCCTAGAGTGAGCAGGTCCTGGTGGCCCCACCTGAGCAGGCATCACAGCGCAGCCCTAGCACAGCAATCCTTCTTAAAAGTTGTTATTTTTTCAGAGTCTAAGTTACCTCTGTACATGAATTACAGAATAAAATTGTTCATTGTGGGGCTACATATGTATTTTTTAAATTTCGTTTATCTATTTATCTATCTTTGGTACTGGGAATCGAACTCAGGACCTTGTGCTTGCCAGGCAGTCACTGTACTGCTGGGCCATCTCCCAGCAGTTGAGAGACAGGGCCTCACTGTGCAGCCCAGGCTGGCCTTGAACTCACAGCGATCCTCCTATTTCAACCTTATGAGTGCTGGGATTACAGAGGTGCATCACTCAGCTTTATTTCTACCCACTCCTCTTCTTCCAGTGATGTGGGAGATTGGACCTAGGGTTTCCTGAGACCTTTATTATCTTTAATTATGAGACAGACTCTTGCTAAGTTGCTAGATTTCCCAGTCTGGATTTGAACTTATCACCCTCCTGCCTCAGCCTCCCAGAGCACTGAGATTCAGGTGTGTGCCACCACGTCCAGCCAGTGTAAATTATAAACAATAGTAAGGCCTTGTCTGTTTCCTTTTTTACTTTCTGCTTTCTTTTCTTTTTTTATTTTATTGAGAAACAAACAGCAATGAGACAGTTTCAAAACAGGTTGGTAGGACAGTTTCAATAATTAATACATTGCATATTGTTGCCTTTGTAGTAGCTATTCATAGTACAAGATGCAGACATGATATCCTGTCCAAACACTATTAGTACAAATCTTTATTCTCATTAAATTAAGAGAAAAATAGATTTATTTATTTATTTATTTATTTTTGCAGTGTCAGGGATTGAACTCAGGACCTTGCACTTGCCAGACAGGTACTTATGCCACTGAGCTATCTCCCCAGCAGTCCACTTTCTGCTTTCCACACACAGGACTGTTAACATTGAAAAGCCATCGTCTATCCCCAACCATCCATCCATGCATCCATCCACACATCCACCCACGCATCCATGCATGCATGCACCCATCCATCCTTGCATTCATCCATGCATGCACGCATGCATCCATCCATCCATGCATCCATCCATCCATGCATCCATCCACACATCCATGCATGCATGTACCCATCCATCCTTGCATTTATCCATGCATCCTCCATCCATCCATCCACACATCCATGCATGCATCCATCCATCCATGCATCCAGGCATGCATCTATCCAGGCATGCATCCATCCTCCATCTTCTTCTCAGTACTATCTCATATCATGACTTCCCACAGGCCCTTATCTTTCACACTCCATCAGGGAGACTCAGCTGTCTGTCACCCCACCCTTCCCCATGCACCTGCCCTCTCCTTGACCCTGGTCCTCCCAGTATCCTGAAGTCATGATTTGGTGGGAATTATATTCATTTTGAAGTTGTTTCTGTGACTTTGAAGGCCTCGTCACCACTGAATTATGAAGATCACTTCGCCTGCACTTCATGTTCCACATGACTGGTCCCTCATGAGCTTCCTGGTGCTGTAAGCCGAGGCGAGGCAGGAGTGGTCTAGTGTTTTCAGCCTTCACTCAGCCTCATCTGAGAGAGGGAAAGGAGGAGGGATGGAGGGAGGAAGGGGGAGAGAGAGAGAGACAGACAGACAGAGACAGAGACAGAGACAGAGACAGAGACAGAGACAGACAGACAGAGACAGGGATGGAGAGATAGAAGGAGACAGGCAGACCCAGACCCTCCAAGGATTAGGGGAGACATTCTTTTGGGGACAGAAAATTCACAGGGTTTCTCTTATATGAGAATGTATATTTTATATGAGAAATATACCTATAATCCCAGCACTTGGGAGGCTGAGGCAGGAGGATGGCTGTGAGCTTGAGGCCAGCCTGGACTATATAACAGAACCTAGTCTACAAAGAACCAAAACCAAGGGCTGGCCAAATAGCTCAGTGGATGAAAGAACCTGATTAGGCAGATGCAGCAGCTGGGGTTCGATCCCCGGTATGCCGTGCTGGCCCAACCCCCACGGGTGCTCTGAGATGGCGATTGAGACTGGGTGTGGTGACGCAGCCTGTAATCCCAGCTCTTGGGAGGCTGAACACAGGTGGATTACTTCAAGTCCGATCTATACAATGAGACATTGTAGACCCTGTAGACCCTTACTAAAATACAACAAAACAAAACAAAACCAAAACCAAACAAAAGTTTTCTTTTGTCTATGACTTCTACTCTGGGTAAAATTTTGGCCATTCTTTTAAGATTATGAAGCACTGTGTGTTAACTACTGTATTTACTGTTATTCTGTAATTATTATTATTATTATTATTATTATTATTATTATTATTATTTTGGCGGTACCAGGTATTGAACTCAGGACCTTGTGCTTACCAGGCAAGCACTTATTCCACTGAGCTATCTCCTCAGCAAAGCCGAACAGAGCTGGTCTGGTAGGGCATGTGGAGTTGGGGATCAAACTGACTGGGTTTGCCCAAGCAGGTACTTAAACAACTGAACTAACTGGCAAGCCCCCTGTAATTATTTTGTTATAAAATTTGGTTTTATTTTTTCATTGGCCAATAAGAAGGCTTATGGGCTCCTAAGCAGGCCTCACTTGCCAGGGAAGGGCCCTGACTCCCTTGACCCCTGTCTGACACAGGCCTGTGCTAGGGGCCTGGCTTCTGTCACCAGGCAACTTTGGGGGCCTCTTTGACTTTCTCTCACTGCTCCCATTTATATAGGGTTGGGGGGACAGTTGATCCGAGGTTCAAGACTTGATACAGGCCAGTGGACGTGCCACCCCCCTCTGGTATGCACACGTGTGGTTTTATCAGGGGCCAGCGGCATTTAAGATGTATGCCAAGGCTCAGGACCAGCCTTGCTGGTGGCCGTGAAGGCTGCCAGGGGCTGTGGGGCTGGGCTGGGCAGGGCAGGGAGCCTAAGATGGATGGAAACTTCTGTCCACACCAAAACCTGTACGCCAAGGTTATGGTGGTGGCTTTGCTTATTACCATCAGGAGCTGGGCACAGCCTAGATGCCACTCAGGTGGGTGGACAAATAATGGTCCATCCACACAATGGACCATTGCTCAGCAAGGGACAGGAGGGGAGCACTGACATGTGGGAGGGCTCTGCAGAGCCCTGAGCATGCAGGCCAGGCCCAGGGAAGCAGTGAGGGGAGAGAGGCTGCTGCTCATCTGTGTGGATGGGTGGGCCAGGTGGGAAAGTACTGGCTGGAAACCAGATGGCCACACTTGGGGTTGGGCAGGATGAGGTGTTTGTGCTGGAGGGACCCTGGGCAGTTTCTCTGGAGGTGTGGAAATGGTTTGTGGCTTGATTACTTATTGTGGTTCTGTGGTTTTATACATTTGCCAAAATTCTTAGAACTGCATGGGAAAAAGGTGAATTGTTTGGAAAATATATCTTAATAAACCTGAAAAAAAAAAAAAAAAAAACCCAACCCATCAGCAGCTGAAAGAGTAGTGTTTGCAGTGCACACTGCAGGCAGGGAAGCTGCCAGGGGCCAGGATGGAACCTAACGCCTGGGACAGCAAGCAAGCCACATCTGGGGACAAAGGGAAGCACTTCTGGTTCATGGTGTGTGAGCGGCCCCCAAATCCTACCTGGTTCCCTCCACACCCTCAAGCTGTGTCCATTCCCCACACCACAAGGGAGACAGAAGCTCAAGGGCTCAGGCGAGAACCCAGTCATGGGGGCTGGGGAGGTGGCTCAGTAGAATAAGCACTACTTGGCAAGCACAAGGGCCTGAGTTCAATCCCCGGTTCTGCCAAAAAAATGGCAACCAACCTGAAATCTTGTCATACTTCTCACGAGCTGTGTGATTCTGACCTTTGTGGGCCTCAATTTCCCCGCTGATAAAAAGCTTTTTGTGGTCTCATTACATAGTTCTGAGGATTTAATGAATGTAGAGTCCTTGGCCCTGCGTCTAGAACATTGGAAGCTCAGGAAGAGTCCTAAGGGTTCCCATCTTATCACAGGGCTGCCAAATCTAGTTGAAAAAACACATATGACATGTATGTTACATATATTGAATATTATATGTCACACATATATTACGTCCAACTGATGTGAAATAGAAGATAAACAATGAATAATTCGTTTTGTTTTGTTTGTTTTTGAGAGAGACTTCTGTGTCTAGTCAGGCTGGCCTTGAACTCTCAGTGATCCTCTTGCCTCAGCCTTGACACCACCACACCTAGTATCAATGAATAATTTTTAGCATAAGTATATCCCATGTAATATTTGGGACATACTTATGCTAAAAATAATTCACGGCACAATTATACTACAAGGAGTGTTTATGTGGAATTCAGAGGTAAGTAGACAATCAGAACTTCCCCTGGCAGGGGAGGTGCCTTCAGGAGGGGACCTTGTCTGGTGATGGAGGTGGATCGCCTGGTGCTTCTCCATCTTACCTACAGCCCAAGTCCCTGCCGGCTTCACCTGGTATCACCTTGTGCAGGCAGCCTCTGGGCCGTGCGCCCACTGCTTGTGCGTTCTTGGTTTGCTTTTGTTCCCGCCTGAGGCTTCCAGCCAGCCACTGTCACTGTCACTCACTCCTGGCTGGGGCAGCCTTTCCGGTGTCTTGAAGTCATGTCTTGCGTGTGAGCCTGTGTCCCTGGACGGGTGGCCGGCTGCCAGGGGAGGGTGTCGGGGTGCGGGCAGCAGTGTGGTGGGCCCTCCGTGCCTGGCTGCGGGCTGAGTGGCAGCGCAGCTCTTACATAATCAGTTTCTCTCCTCCTCCTTTTTCCAGAGCCAGACTTCACACTGAGCAGCTGCAGTCGGGGAAATCAGAGAAAGCACCATCCAGCCGGAGATTCCAAGGGACCTGCTGGGGACTCTGTTCTTCCTCTTCCTCAGGAAGGAAGGAAGACCCTGAGGCCACCTGCTGGCACCAGCTCCTGGGCTGCAATGGGACCAGGAGCCACCGCCCCCAGGCTGTCCTCTGCCCTGCCAGGCAGATAGGGCAGCTGTGCCCAGGAGGATCCACCCTCCACCTGCTGTCTGGCACCTCCTCCCGGCTGGCCTTTCCCGGACTTCGTGGCCACCTTTGCTGACCCGAGGCCATGTAGGCACTGCTCAGGCCTTTGCACACACGACTGGGGACAGCGCCTCTGCTCTCAGGGGACCCAGTGCACCACCATGCCCTGGGGACTCACCTGGCTGCACTGTGAGTACTGGGGTCCCTGGAGACCTTCCTGGGAGGCCTTGGGCCAGAGCGGGCTCTGCTGTAGCCATGGCAACCAGGGTGTTCTTGATGGTGAGAAGTTCAGATGCTTCCAGCCCCGCAGCCTTGGGGACAGGGACTCTACAGCTGCCCTTTGCCCTGCCTGCCACTGACCCCAAGCTCAGAAGGGCAAGCTGGGCATGAGCCAGGCTGGGAGGCTGTAGTCAGTGGCTCAGAATGGGGAGCCACTGTGGTGGGTGGTAGCATTTCAGCCTGTAGGCACATTGGCACTGGGGAGCACGGTAAGGTGGAGGTGGCAGACAGGGGATTTCTGTCCTCTCTGGGTGTGGCCAGTGGGGGTGGGGTAGGGGCCAGGGACCCAGGACGGGTGGGACACATGCATCCAGGAGCTTGGGAAAACAGCTCTCTCAAACCCTCCCTTTGTGACAGAATGAAAAAGCAGGAAGATAACAGTGCTGTCTATAAAAAGAAAAATAAGTTAAAATGGGTACAGGAATAAAAAGGGAAGAAACTGGAGAGCTGTCATGCCTGCTGGGTGGGAGGCCGGACCACACTCCCTGCGGACCCCCAGGCCCTGTTAGTGACACTCATGGAACACATTTCTCTGGACTTCCCAGGGTCCCCTGAGAGTGCAGCTGGCCCAGAGCTAGGTGTCCAGGGATGACCCAGAGTTCTGGGTTTCCGGGTGTTGAGCAGGGGAAGCAAGCGTGAGTGAGGTGCCCCCCACTCCCGCCTGGCACTGTCCACTGAGGCAGGCTCAGGGTTTAGGCCACAGCATGGGCCTGAGAGGGAGGTGGCTGAGCCCTTGAAAGGGGGCAGAAAGTTCCAGAGATCCCAGTGAGCCCTGGGGCTGCGGTCTCCATTGTGGGTTGAGAGAATGAGGGTCATTCCCAAGGTGGAGGGGTTGTGAGAGGAAGAACGCTCCAGGAGGCAGCTCTCCGGGCTGGGCCAGGATCTGCTGGGCTGCAGGGCAAGTTGGTGGCTCAGGACAGCAGAGTGTGCTCTCACTGACCTGGGTCCCCGAGATGTGAAGGCTGGGTGTGGGCCAGGCACGCACCCTCCCAAGGCTCTGTGGAGGCTCCTTCTGTCACCTCCTGCTGCTGACAGCTCCCAGTGTTCCGCTATTTGTCAGCACCATTTGTCCCTGTCTTTGGCCGGCCTTTCCTTCTGCGTGTCTGTGTGACTCTGTGTCCCCTCTTCTTATCCGGACACCAGTCACTGGAGTTAGGCCCTGGGTGTTTCCTTCCGGAGACCCTTCCCTCAGTGACATTCTCAAAGACCCTCTTCCCCAGTAAGGTCATATTCTGAGTTTCCAGGGGATACAGATGGGGAGGAGGAATGTGTGAGTGAGGGTGGGGGTGACAAGCCTCATCTGTCACTGCACAGAGAACTGTCTTGGGGAGGACATGGGTACCCCCACTATCACCACCACCCAGACCAGGTAACCAGCAAGGGAGAGACTTACATGGATCTTTTTCAGCCTCTGCTTCCATTTTGCTGCTTCTTGTCATTGGAGGAGGACAGGCAGAAGGGCTTCCTCCTCAGGGCCAGGAGTGTGCCTGGCTGTATGGGCCATGGGGTGACAAGTGGTCACAGCAGTTATAGAATGGGGGACTATGGTGGTGGGTGGCAGCATTTCGGCCTGTAGGCACGTTGGCACTGGGGAGCATGGTGGGGTGGAGGTGGAGGTTTCGATTGTCCTGTTCCTGCCAGGTCTCCTGTTTCTCCTGGTGGAGGCATCAGAAAAGAAGCTGAAAATGAGAAATGGTGGCCCAGCTGCAGACTTCAGGGATGCTGGCCCCACACTTTCCTGGGACAGTAATGTACCCACATGGGCCAGGTGAGGGGCTGTGGCCCTTCAATACCCAGCCCCAGTCTTGAGGCCACACAGTACACAGGTCCTGAAGGTTCTGGAGGGACACAATGACTGGAGTAGGACTTGGGGATGGAGTGGACAGCCTTCAGTGACTGCCACACCCAGTAGAGATAGGAACACCCCCCCATTCTTTTGTGTGTGTGTGTGTGTGTGTGTGTGTGTGTGTGTGTGTGTGTGTAGGGCGGGTTAAAACAGTCTCTGTATAGCCCAGGCTAACCTCAAACCTGAAATCCTCTTCGCTTAGCTTTTCCTGAGTGCTAGGATTATAGCCATGCCTCACCACACCCAATTTAGAAACATTCTTTTTAATCCGATGGAAATTTGGATTTCTCTGTGGAATCCCCGTGGGTCAGGTACGGACCTTGAGATACCAGTTACTCCAGGTCTGTGGTTTTGTTTTGTTTGTAACACTGAGGACTGGGCCCAAGGTCTGCACCTCCTGGCCACGCACTGTATCTCTGAGCTACACCCCAGGCCTAACCTGTGGTCCCTGAAGTGTATCCCAGGACCAGTGGTCACAGTTCCATCTGGACACTTGTCCCAAAGGCATATTCTCTGGCCCTATCCCGGACCTGCTAGATCAAAGACTTTGGTTAGGATTGGGCTATCAGGGCCTCAGCCAGCTCCCCAGGGCAGTCACACGCCAGCTTCTGGTTCCAGAGTTGGAGGTGAATCCAGAAATTCAGACCTGCAAACTCAGCCAAGGGAATCACACTCTGGGCACTGGCAGTAGGAACTCATGCCAGGGTTAAGGGCCTGGCCAGGTAATGAATGTGCTAGGCACGTGATGCTGAGGCAGAGGTTGAAGGTGCTGCTATAAGCAGGGGAGACCCAGGGTTGGGGGAAAGAGTCCCAGCAGGCCTTTGGAAGGGGTCAGCAATGTGAGGGCAGCTAGGTCAGGAATCATCCTGACCTCTAGGATCGGGTGCCAGGTGGAGAGGTTTTGTGATTTGGAGATGGAAAACAGGCTGATGTCGAAGAGGGCCACACTGGTATGGTTTGGGCTTGTCTGTTCCTTGGCCACTACTGTGCCAGGTACATGGGGAGAGGGGAAGTGTGGTGCAGACTATCACCAGCTTGAAACCTTGCCAAGTGTGGTTCCTAAGGGTCTGCGGAAGGGGGGAAGGGGCTGCAGCTCACACAGGGCTCAGGGTCGAGGAAAGAGTTCTGTGAGGGGCCCTGGTGGGTGCAAAGGCCCAGGGGGTGGCAGGAGCCAAGGAGGGGAGGGAAGGACATACCTGCCGGGTAAAGTGGCCAGGCCAGTGAAGGACAAAAGCTTCCAAGTTCAAGTCAATAACTTCTGAGGATAACCCACTAATATTATAAACTGCTAGAGAGTGTTAGATTGTTTAGTTGAATAGAAACACTTATAGTATTTAAATGCCAATAGAATATTCACCTCTGACAGGACAAAAAAAAAAAATTCACCTCTGACAGGACAAAAAAAAAAAAAAAAAAAAAAAAGAGAGAATACAAAGGAAAGATCATTTTGTATTTATATATACAAAATATTTAGGGTAAATTTACAGCTACTTTCGCTCAATTCAATAAGAAAGAGGTGAACTAATAATGTTTGGACAGAATATCCTGTCTACCTCTTGTACTACGGATAACCACTAAGAAGATAACAATGTATAGTGTATTGATTATCAAAACTGTCCTATTAATCAGCTGTGAAACTGTCTCATTCATATTTCTCAATAAAAAAGAATTGAACAAAAGAAAAAACAAAACAAAAACAAAAACAAACGCTTCCAAGTTGCCAGGAAGTGAGTGGGGAAAGTCTGATCAGTAATTCCTACTCCTAGCAGGGGTGGGTCAGGGAGGTATCCCAGCCTGCCTGGCTACTTTTGCAAAAACCCAACCAAAAAAGTGAGGATTTATTACCTCTGACAATAAGAATAAGAATAGATATTGATCATAGGGGATCACAAATGTCCAGCGAAATATAAAGGACATAAACTCCCGTAGAGATTTGGTACATTTCTTTCTACAATACTTTTCACACAAGCTCATGGAAGCAAGGAACAAAATTCAAGTCCGGCTATGCATGTGGATGGTGTCAGGTCGTGCTTTTATTTTTATTTTATTTTCCAACACTACTGGATATTGAGCCCAGGGCCTCGGCACTTCCACTCTCTCTGATAGTTTTTTTTTCCTTTTTTTTGTAGACAGGGTCTTGCTAAGTCACTGAGCTGCCTGCCTGACCTTGAACTTGCTGTCGTCCTACCTCAGCTTCGCAGAGTGCAGGGATCGCAGGAGTGTGCCTTTCTGCTCTGCTAGATCGTGCTTTTTCCAAATGGCACTAGGCAAATCTGAAGTATTTTTCTTATCACATAAATGTATCATTCCTTGAAAATGTGATTTTTATTAGCTGCATTCATTCATTCATACGTAATGTCTTGGCCACTTCCAGATTTTCACTATTACAAACCAATGTTACAGCAATAAGTCTTTATTCATAAATATTGTGGTTACTACTCTCTTTCTTGCTTTCCTTCCAATTTATAGAGTTTAGTGGGCCAAAGGGTGTGGCCTCAATTACATCGGTTAATAATAAAACTTGCCTAATTGCTTTCTAGGATAACACCTTCTTCACTACTTGGCCAGTACCAGACTGTTTTTTTTTTTTTTTTTTTTTCCAGTACCAGGGATTAAACTCAGGACCTTGTGCTTGCCAAGCAAGTACTTACTCTATTGAGCTATCTCCCTGGCCCCAGCACCAGATATTACTAAAACAAAACAAGTACACAAAAGCCTTTCCATTTTCATTTTGACAGACTAAAAAATTGGCATCTCTCTCTATTTTTTAAATGATTGGGGATTGACTCCAGGGCTTTGAGTGAACTAGGCAAATTCTCTGTCACTGAGCTACACCCCTAGCCTTTTTAATTTTTAATTTTGTGACACTGGCTCAACTAAGTTGCCCAGGGCGGCTTGGACCTCCTTTTACTTCTTGAGAAGTAAAGGTACTTCTCAAGTGAAGTACCTTTGAGAAGCCAGGACTGTGAGCTTATGCCCAGCTTGGTGTTTTAATGTGAATTTCTTTATTTTATTAATGAGCTTGATCTTTTTGTACATCTTCCCCTTTTACATTCTGTTCTTTCTGCTCTGATCTACTTAACCCCTACTCATTTTTACTGCAGATTCAGATATTTTTTCTGTCCAGAGCAGTGGAGATCCCTAAGGTTGTTTTTGAGGTCGCAGTGACCCCTAGTGGTAAAGGCCGCTTATTGGCTGCAGGTACAGCCTCCCTGAGATCTGTTTAGCTTCCCGCAGCCACAGGAGCAGGACATCAGATAGAGCAGGGAAGAGAGTAGCTTAGGTTAGCGTTGGAACTAGAATCTGCGTCTGAGTCTCCAGATGGAAAATCCAGCAACAGGCTTTGAAGACGTGTCAGCAACGTGCTGAGGTTGCAGCGAAAGGGAGGCTGAGCCTGTGTCGTGGGGTGGGAGCTGGGGAAAGACTGGAGAGCCTGTGTCGTGGGGTGGGAGCTGGGGAAAGACTGGAGACCAGCCTTGGGGTGCTTCCCAGTGGACCCGTGGTGTAGGCACTGCGCACCATGGGGATTGCTCACAGTTGCCTGTCCTTGCTGGTCTGGGCCTCAGGCCTGGGAAAGAGTCGTTGGGTGGGAAGGGTCCCTGGGGCGCCTGCGGCCATCTGTCCCATGTGTTCTCGTAACTTCAGAAAATGGATGACAGTGGGCACAGTTTGGCATGCCAGGCCGGTGGGGGCATGGTGCCTGGTGCTCATGTGCTTTTGTTGGGTGTGATCCACAGGTCTTGGGATCCTCCTTGGTGTGGCTTTGGGGAGTGAGGATTTGGAGGTGTGGCCTTTGACCCAGAATAAGGAGTGCTCTGTCACCGGCTTCCTGCGGGACAAGCTTCAGTACAAGAACCGGCTTCAGTACATGGTATCTACATGTGCACCAGCCGTGTCCCTGTTCCCAGGCCCCAAGGCTCACCTGGTGCACGGCCCTGGACATTGAGGGTCTCCTTGGCCTGTGTCAACCCCAAGGCCCTGCCCTTCGCTGTCCACCGTGCCCCAACTCCTAAGCATATGTCCAGTCTGCACACTGTCCCCTCCTTCTGTCTCCCAGAACCCCTGTCCCCCTCCCAGACCTCACCTTCTGTTGCTGGAGTGGACCATAGCAACTCCTCGCAGGCCCCAGGCGCTCGTTCCCGGCCGAGACAAAGACCTGACCGAAATGCTTGACTCCTCTCCGAGAGCTGGCTCTATATGTCTGCTTTTAAAAATGGTTTTCTTGAGAGAGAACTCACAATCCACAGGACCTACCTGCTTGCGTTGTACAGCAGGGTGGCTTTTGGTGACCACAGAGTTGTGCGACTCCCAGTGCAGTAAGCTTGACAGCACGTCCCTTGCCCAGACGCTTGACCTTGGGCCTGAATCTTCAGCCTCACCAGGGAGGTGGTGGTCTTTGGTTTCACTTGGCCCATGTCTGTCTTTGGTGAGGCTGAGAACCAGGAATGTTTTCTCCCCAGCAGACCCCACTGCCATCCCGGGGCTGGGCCTGGGCCCCTCTCCGACCTCAGCATCATCCGGAGTTAGGGGGCCATCTACGCTGCATCTGTCTCTTACCTTGTGGTTTATCTCATCTCTCCTAGAAATACTACTTCCCCATCAACTACCGGATCAGTGTGCCTTATGAGGGGGTGCTCAGAATTGCCAACATCACCAAGCTGGTGAGGGCCCACGATCCTGTCCCTGCCCTTGCCCCAGCCCAGGGTTCTCCCAGTGGGGGTGTGGGGGTCCCCTTGCAGGGGATGGGTGGTCACAGCTCCTAGGCTGTGGGTTCCAGGGACTCTTCTATCCCTGCAGCAGAGGGTCCAGGTGAGCGAGCAGGAGCTGCGCTGCCTGTGGGTCTTGGTGAGTCTTAGTGCCGTCGAATCGGTGCAGGCCGTGCTGCTGGAGGGCCACCCGTCCTGGAGGTACCTGGGGGACGTCCAGAAGCTGCTGCTGAATGTGCAGCAGGGCCTTGTGGTGAGCAGGGTGCTGTGCGGAGGGCATGGGGGCTGGGAGGCCAGAGGGGGGCCCTGGGGTGTCCTGAGGGTGGGGATGGGCAGGTGTGCAGGAAAGGAGCCTGGAGAAGAGGGGGAGCCAGCAGCGGGGCAGGTGGGGAGCCTGAGGTGATTCCAGGCCGTGCAGAGCAGGTCACAGGGGGCTCTGACGTTACTTTTCTCTTTTCTTTTCCTTTCTTTTTTTCCTTCTCTTCTCTTTTTCTTTTTCTTTTGCATTGAACCCAGGAACTTTGCTTTGAACTATATTCCCAAATATTGTCTTATTTTGTTTAAAACAGTATTGCTGGGCCATGGAGATAGCTCAGTGGTCTAAGCACCTGCTTAGGCAAGTGCAGGGACCCGGGTTCAATCCCTGGTACCACATGCTGTGCTGACCCCTGAACCCTGGGTGCCCTGAGCTGGCCACCAAGACCGGGTGTGGAGGTGCATGCCTATAATCCCAGCACTGGGGAGGCTGAGACAGGAGGATCACTATGAGTCCAAGGTGTGTAGTGAGACCCTGTACCAAATACATTAGAAAAACAAAACAACAACAACAACAACAACAACAAAACAATCAGTACTGCTAAGTGACTAAAGTGCCTCGCTTGGGCTGGAGCTCAAAGTCTTTCTGCCTCAGCTTCCCAGAGTGTGCCACCTGGCCTGGAGGAATTTTTCTATGAAGAAAGGCTAAGAAGCAAGGCTCCTTTGTGGGAAGAAAGAGCAGGTGGCGCATGGCACAGGATTTTGGAAGGCAGTGAGACTGTTCTGTGTAACATGTTAATGGGGCACATGACAGCATGTGAAGAAAAATAAAAGTTTCCTTCTCCCGCATCAGAGTTGACCCAACCTCTCGGGAAATGTCCTCTATAAAACCCAAGTCATTCTAAAAAGTACAGCAAGGAATCATCGTGTCCTGGGAAGACCGCCTGTCCCCACCAGCTGGCTGTGGCCCTGGGTTCACACTGGCCTGGGACCCACCTGCCGCCCAGCTCCACCAGCTGCCTGGTCTCATCTGTTGGCCAGGCTGAGAGGATCTGGTACCAACTCTGAGCATCTGGGGATGAAAGCTCGAGGAGCAGCAGCAGCTGTTTTTGCAGCTGCCTACGACCAGCCCAGCCAGGACAACCCAAAGGGCCCGTGAGGCCCTGCTGGCTCCTGATGGCTCCTGGGGTGATTGGGGTATGGAGGGGACATTTTCACCCTTGGTTTTTTTCTCAGGAGCATTTCTGGCTGAAAACAAAGAAGTGGGAACAGAGAAGAGGCCCTCCACCCTGCCTGCCAACGGCTGGCCTCTCATGATTAAAGCAATGCACTAGGGTTTCTTTTATTATCTAGGCCTAGCTAGCTTATTTTTATTTTTATTTTTATTCTCAGTGCTGGACACTGAATTCCTGAACTACACCTCAGCCCTGTAGCTGTACATCTCCCTTCTTCTTCCTCATCCTTCTTCTTTCTTCTGTTATTTCTTCTTTTTTTTTCCTTCTCTTCCTTCCTCTTTTCTTTTTTCCTTGTTTTATGAGACAGGGTCTTTCTGTGTCATCTAGGCTGGCCTTGAACTCACCATGTAGCCCAGGGTGGCCTCAAACTCACAGCAACCCTCCTGCCTCAGCCTCCCGAGTGCTGGGGTTTTGGGTCCGCACCATTTTGCTTTGTTTACTTCTCTCATCTCACACTGTCAGTGTTGTGTGACTCGGCTTTTAAGATGGATCACACTTAGAGAAGAAGCACCCTTCAGATTTTCTTTGCTTATAAATCTTCCAGTGGTCCTATAATGTAGAAGGTCTGGCTTGGCAAGTGGGTGACAGTTGCTTCCAGTTACTGTTTCACCCCTGGGTTTCAGATTCATCACTTTTTTTTTTTAAAGATATTTTCTAATACTGGGGATTGAAGCCAGACCCAGCATATTGAACTGCATCCTCATCCTTTTTAAATTTTGAGACAGGATCTCACTAAATCCATGTTTCCCAGGCTGGGCTTGAACTTGCAACCTCCTGCCTCAGCCTCTAGGAGTGCTGGGCTCACAGGCTATGCCCTGGCAGATCTGTCAGTTGTAAGAAGTGTTCGGGGCTGGAGAGATGGCTCAGTGGTCTAAAGCACCTACTTAGAACAAGCTTAGCAAAGCTCAGGGACTGCGGTTCAATCCCCCAGCACCACATGCCAGCCAGCCCCGCCCCCTGGTGGGCTGAGCTGGCCACACACACACACAAATAAATAAAAATTAAAAAAAAAAAAAAGAAGTGTTCGGAATGAAGTCTTAAATGGAACCCACAACAGCTGTAGACTGGTTCCATGACTTGCTGTTATGCCTCCATCTACTTAGAGATGCCTGGAGTCTGAGTCCACATTGTTCTGGTCCTACATTTCCTTCCTTTTTAAAAATTCGGTTTCCTGACCAGGACTGGTGGCACATGCCTGTAATCCCAGTGCTGGGGAGGCTGAAAAGAGGAGGATCACTATGAGTCCAAGCTGCGTAGTGAGACCCTATATCAAATACATTTTTTAAAAAAAGTTTCCTTCAGTAAATAAACACAAAGAAGGTTCTCGTTAGAGACCAAGGGGGTTTGTCCTTCAAGGGAGCATGCTTTATAATATAAAATCTGCCATTTGACCTCTTTTAAGTTGTGCAGCTTAGTGGTATTAGTTATGTTCACAGGGCTAGGCAACAATCACGTCTGCCCATTTCTAGAATCTTCTGTTACCCCAAAAGGAAACTACCCATGAAACATTCGCTCTCCATTTTTTGTCTTTCTGCACCCCTGGGAACCTGTAATCTGCTTTTGGTCACCATGTATTTGTCTCTTCTCAGTACTGCGTAAAGTAGAATCATGCCTGGTCAGAATCCTTTCATTTGTGGTGGCTTGTACTTGGCATATTTTCAGAATTTGTGCATTGGTCCCAGATCTCTGGGAGGCTAAGGTAGGAGGGTAGCAGGAGGGGTGGGATTTCCGGGTCACGTGGTAATCCAGCTTGGCTTTTTCTAGGGTACTGTAACAAATGAAGCCAGACTTAGGGCACAAATTGGCTGGGTGCAGTGGCACATGCCTGTAATTCCAGGGAATTGGGAGGCTGAGGCAGGAGGGCAGCAAGCTTGAGTTCTACCTGGACAACTTATTGAGATCTTGTCATGAAACAATAAAATAAAATAAGGAGAGCTAGGTGTGGTGGCCTGTGCCTATAATCCTAACCCCCAAGAGGCTGAGGCAGGAGGATTGCTGGGAGGCTTTGAGACCCTAGTTCTAAAATGAAGAAACAAAGAAACAAACAAACTGAACCTCCCCTGCCTGCCAGAGAGGTGCGACCTAGTTCATAGGCTCCTGGTCACAGGAAGTCTGGGGTAGCACTAGGCCAGTGACCCCACTGAGTGGCATGGCTCCCATCTGTCACTGGTTCTCATGGTTTCCTGCTTTTCAGAATGTGAAGATCAGCCCCAGGGTGGAAGCTGTGTTGTTGGCCCTCAATACCCCAGGCCTGAAGCTGGTGAGGCCCAAAGCCCTGCTGGACAACTGCTTCCGGGTCATGGAGCTGCTGTACTGCTCTTGCTGTAAGGAGCCCCCAGTGGGTGGGGCTGGGATGGCAGGAGGCCAGGGTCTGGGCCCTTGGGGGATACACTCTGTTCTCCAGAGTGACAGACTATTTCTGGAAGCCGAGATGGCTCTGAGTAGAGACCAGAAAGAATGCATGGCTTGTAGGTGCCTGTCATTTGGGAGGCTGAAGCAGCGGGATCACAAATTCAAGGCCAGCCCAGGCAGCTTAGCAAGACCCTGTCTCAAAATAAACATTAAAAAAGGCCTGGGAGGGCTGGGAAGATAGCTCAGTGGCATAAGCACCTGCCTTGCAAGCACAAGGTCCCAAGTTTGATCCCCAGTCCTCCCTAAAAAACCAAACAAAAAAAGGCCTGGGGGAGGTAGTAACAACCCTTTCTGCATTCAATTCTCAGTTAAAAAAAAAAAAAAAAGTGGCAAGGCTGGGCTGGCCCTTCGTCTCCTGCAGCCTCTCTTTTCATCCCTTACAGGTAAACAAAGCCCCATCCTAAACTGGCAGGACTGTGAGGTGCCAGGTCTTCAGCCACGCAGTGCAGAGCCCTCATTGCAGTGTGTGGCCCCCCAGTTGTACCCGGCACCCTAGAAGCCCTCCACCTCCTACCTGGCTCCCTGGGCTTAAGTGTGGGGCCTGTTCAGGGCCCAGGGCTGAGGTCTCTCAGCTTGAGCTGCCTGACCCCATGTGCAGACAACTGGTGAGTCCCGGGAGTTGGGCTGGCCTGAGACTTCTCACCCTTTGGAGAAGCCCTTTGTCAGAGCTGGGCTCCACTTCTGCCTTCCCACCTGGCTGTCCCCCAGAGAGTGGCAGGGAGCTGCGTGTCCCCTGGCTGTAGGTGGTGCTGAAGTCTCCTCTGGTCAGTGTAGCCAGAGCTGCGCTTCCAGGCAGCAGGTGGAGGCGGGGACCGTGTAGGACTCCAGGCCTCACCGTGGCCCTCTAGCCAGGTGGCACTGACGGTGGAGCCAAATGCCACATCTTGCCACAATGGATGCTCTCCTAGTTACCTTTTTCTATTAAACAGCCGCTTGTTTTGTTTTGTTTGGCTTGCTTTGCATCTGCGATGGTGAACCTGGCCAGCCAAGGGCAAGCGGGCGGATGAAGGGTATGGCCAGTACAGCCCTGGGCTGGTGGTTGGCATCTGGGCTTCCATGGATGGAGCGTTACCTAGGGACATTCGAGGGTTAACAGTCCTCCCAGCCCTGCCCCAGTCTGTGGCACCTCAGCAGGCCCGAGGGGCGAGGGGCGTCTGAGGTGTGTGTGTCAGAGTGCCAACAGTGACACTGGCGATCTTCTCTCACTCACCCTGGCTGCCCAGAGAGCCCCCAGCAAGAGAAGCAGAGTGGGAACATCTCAAATACCTAGGTCCAGGCCGGAGCCCTGGCTATGCCTGTTCCTGTGCCGGTGAGACCTGGGGTGACCATGGCCAGGCTGCAGGGGCGAGAGGGGGGCAGGGAAACAAGGCGGAGGCAGGGGTGTTAATTACAGTACAACTTTATTAATACTGGAATCTTCACAGTGCATTTGTTACTTGTAGCAGTGACTATTTAAATCAAGGGGAGGATGGAGTGAAGAGGGCGGGGAGGAGAGAATTTATCCAAAAACAGACAGAAAGAAAAGAAACAAAATGGTCCAGATGGGATGAAGGGGGTGGGAGAGTGGAGTCGGGAGGAAAGGGGTGAGTGGGCACCAGGAGGGGCAGCCTGGGGCAGGGAAATAAATTAAAAAAAAAAGGGACAAGTTAACAACAGCACCAGAAAAGTTACTTCAGTCAAAAGACGCTTTTGAAAAGAATATTTCTCTGTACAAAATGAAAAATAAAACGAATGTAGAGTGACAGACCACCCCAAACCAAAGTTTGTGACAGGGGATGGTTGGCTCGGATCCCAAGGGGGGTAGGCCTACGAGGTGGTCACTAAATGATGAGAAGGTGGTGGGCAGTCACGGGACAGACGAGGGATGGAGTATGTACAGCCAGGGACTCGGTGGGGAGGGCGTGGTGGAGTGTGGGAACCACCCTGCCCCTCCCTGGGAGGCCTTCAGCTTCCCTCCCCAGCAGGGTGGCTTGTCATAATGACCACCACTGTGACCCCCCCCCCAAGGCAGTGAGCGCATCCTTGAAGGGAACCCTAGGACCTGCCTGTACCCCCAGTGCAGAGGCCATGCCTGCCCACTCTGCTGTCCCCTCCCACATCCTGCATCCCCTGCTATCTGCTGCCTAGGAAAATCTTCCGGGATAGATGGGGCAGAAATTCCACACCAGGGTATCAAATTGGTCACCTGCTTTCCTGGGGTCTGGTGTCAGTCTGGATTGGAGGTATTTGGCTTCTCCTCAGACCTGCACAGATGGGTCACTAGCAGTCCCTGGGGGCGTGAGGACTCCATGTGCACAAAAGCACCTCAGGTCCCCAGATGCACCTGGCCTCCCTTGGCAATGCCCAGGAGTGCAAGCCTGACACTTGGCCAGACCACAGCAAGCTGCTCTCCTGGCCCAGGGAGATGCCGCCCTTGGGAGCCTTCTTTCCTGCTGACCACCTGGCATCCCTCCACTCGCCCTAGGCGCACATGCTTTTACCTGCTCACACCTGGCCTGGCCTTGGCCATGGAGTAGGAGGGCATCCCACTCCTCCACCTGGCCTCACTGCTGGTGCTGGCCCAGGTCTGCCGTGGGGACTGTCCTGGGATAGCATCTCCTCTGGTGACAGAGAGTCAAAGCTAATCTCCCCAGGCTCGCACCCCACTGCAGGCCTGCAGGAGCCGAGCCCAGGCAGCCCCAGCCCTGCCCTCTCCAGACTCCCCGTGGCTACACTGGAGGGTGACACATCTTCCCCCTGGCTTTGGGGGAGCCTGCCCTTTTCCTCCTGCCACCCCACCACCCCCATCTCAGGCACTCAAAGACACACACCCTGTACCACCAACCTGCCCCACACAAAGTCCTTGTCTGGGTCAGCTCCATTTTATTAGACTCATAAAATATCCCCCTCCCCAATCCTCTATGGCTCTAGCCCCACTCCAAAGGTGGCTGAAACTGTGAAGTGCCACCAGTTAAAGTCTCAATGCACTCAGATGAGAACGCCACATCTGAAACAGCTATGCACTGGCCAGGTGACCCTATGGGCCGCTGGACTCTTTGCCCTGCTGTCCTGTGCCCCTGCAGCCATCCCTCATGGGTGAGGGCCTTAGCTCCCTCACAAGGGCTCCTCAAGCATCTCCTTCCCGAGACTCTGCTTGGACCCTGGGCTCCCTTCCCTATGGGCAGGCTTGGCCTTCCGGCACCTCCCTTGGCCCTTCACTCTGACCACAATTAGATACCTCAGCTACCAGACACTGGACCCCACAGCCACCCTGACCCCCAGTTGGACAGGGCCCTGGGAAAGGCAGAGAGACGGTGAAGAGAAGGAGGGGACAGGCAGGGAGCAGAGGGCCACAGCATTCAAGGCAGAGCCGGGGCACTGGGACCCCAGGGAGCAGGGGCCAGGGAAGCTGAATGGTGGACCTGGCCAGGTAGGCAAGGAGGCTGGCCAGGCCTAGTGGACACGCTGGAGTTTGGAAAAGGCAGAGCTTGCAGGGAGGAACAGAGTAGGCAAGGAAAGTATAAAACTGACTCCAAAACCAGCTCCAGGCCTGCAGGCTCTGTCCTGGTGAGGTTTGTGAAAGTCACTTCCCGTTAAACGCTGAGACCAAGACCCAGCCCGGGTGTGTTTCTCTGCAAAGTGGCTTTGCCTCATTCCTGGCGCTGCTCTTGCTCTGGCTATACCCGCATTCTGCGTGGCCCGCGGCTCACAGACCAAGGCCACCTGCCTGCACCAGGGCCATGCAGGGTGGGGAGGTTGGCACTATCATAAGATGCGGGGCGCCGACCTGTCATTGGTGACGGTCCTGCGGAGCCGGACCCCACGCCGGATGGCCACCAGCATGTCTTCAGCTGGGGGGTCACTGGTGGCAGCAGGGGGTGGAGTGGGTGTTTCCTCGGTGGGGGTGGCAGACAGGGCGGTGGGGAAGGGAAACTGGCCCTCACCCAGGGCGTGGGCACCGGCCACCAGCTCCCCAAGCTTCTCCACCAGGCTGTGCCTGTTGGCGGCCAGCTGCTGCTCTTCCTCGTCCTCTGGTGCCAGCCTGGTCCCGGCCCCATGATAGCTGGCCGCCTCAGGAGATGGGCTGCCCCAGGCCGTGTTGGGCAGGCTCAGCCTTTTTGGGGAGGCCTTGGCAAGGTCCGGGGCCAGAGGCGAGGCGGCCTCGTCTGTGTAGAACACGCACTCTTCACTGCCTGCCCGTGTGGGCCCCATGTAGCCAGGGGAGTCGGGCACTGTGGGTGTCTTCACGGGGACGATGGGTGGCCGGATGGGGATGGGGCCAGCGCTGGACAGGGCGCGGCGCACAGTGGGCTTGGTGGAGGGTGTGCGGCGGATGGTGGCCACGCCAGGGGGTGCACCTGAGGGCAGGCCCGTAGCAGTGGGCAGCCCGGCGGTGGGCAGCCCGGCAGTGGAGGCCGGGCGCTTGGTCTGGATGAGGCGGCGGTAGTTCTGGGCGATGTTACTGTTGCGTGGGATGGTGGACGACTTGTCAAACTCCTGAGGGCCCTCGCCGTCTGCATCACCGTTCACGGAATAGCAGTCATAGTCGGAGCCTAGAGGCATAGGATGTGGTAGGCCTGGGTCCCTCCCCCTGGAGGACATGGAGAAGGAAGGCCAGCACCCCACTGCATGCTCAGCCCCAGCTGCCCCGGCAGTGCAGGCCGCACCTTGGGAGGGGATGGTGTCTTCGGAGCATGAGGGTGTGGTGGTCTGCGTGCTGTAGCCACTGGAGTACTGCAGAGAGTCCCGGCTGCTCTTCTGGTGCTCCAGGCTCAGGCCACGGGTCAGTACCATGGCCAGATCGCTGGCTGCGGGGGACACCTCCTCACCATGCTGAGGGGGAGAAACTGCACACTGAAGCCTCATTCCCCACATTTCTGTTCATTTGCCCTGGTCACTACCAAGGTGGCTGGGGATGGTCCTGGAGACCGCATGCTGGGTCTCCTGATATTGACTCTGGAGCAAAGGAGTGGGGCTGGCTAGGCTACCCCAGGAGCTGGCTACCTACCTTGGCTGCAATGGTGGCAGGGGACATCCGGGGTCGTGGTGTCTCCTCTCCGCTGGGACCCAGGGGGCCTGTGCTAGCGGGCCCTGGCTCTGCATCTCGAAGGAGCTCAACTCTGTCCTTCCTACGCTGCAGGGTGGTGCCTGAGGGCTGCTCATGGGGGCCGGCCTTTGTCCAGTCCTGTGAAGTATGGCAGGCAGGTAAGGGGACCCTTGGCCTTGGGGCCAGTGGCCAAGGGTGTCTAGGTTTCCAGGGGATTCTGGCTTGCAATTGTGGACAAGACCAGAGCCCAGAAGGGTAGGTGTGACCCCTCCATCCCACCAGGCCCAGGACAGGACAGGGTGTCCTAGAAGGGAATTGGCAGGGGGTAGTGCCAGGCAGATTCTCTGGTAGAGACAGGTGCCATGCGCACACAGCTCTCTGGCTAAACCTGGGTCCTCCCTGTGATGACAACCTCAGGTTGGGAGGGCACAGAGTAAACAGCTGGTGACAGTCCTGGGCCCAGGAGCACTGACCGAGGTGGGGGAGCTGCACTCGCTAACAGACTGGCAGGTTTCTGAAGCCTCGGAAGACGCAGAGCTGGAGGACTTCTGCCATGCAGAGGCGAGCAGGTAGTTGCAGACGGGGGGCCGGCGGGGGGGCAGGGAGGAGAGGAGACAACAGTTGTGGTCACAGCACCGGCATGCACACATCCCCCAAGGGTCACAGCTACCACCAGTAGTGTGGCAGAAGGCAGTGGCCCAGGGCGCCCCCAGCCAATGGCACGGTCCAGGAGCTGCACATCCTGAGGACCCTCAGCTGATGGCCTGCATGTGATAGGCGAGGCATGAAGAGTCCCAGCCCTCATCTTGGGCACAGAGTGGAGCTGCCGGTTATGCATGGGCACCTGTGGGCAAGCACCATGATTCTGAGGCTGGAGCTGGGTCAGGTCAGGACTGGAGCCACAAATGGACAACCGAAGGCGGGAGGCAGCCACCCGGGGAAGCCAGAGCTCAGTGGTTAGGAGGAAGAGTCCAGTGAAGGGCAGCAGCAAAGAGCTGCCAGAGAGCCAGGGGTGGCTGTGGACTAGAAGGGGAAGGGCATAGGGTGCCCTACTTTGGAGTAGCCTGAGTGTGAATGGGGACTCCCCAGTAGGGGGCGCTAAGTGTCCTGTAGGTCCTTCTACTCCACACTAGTGAAAAGAATAAAGGAAAGAGAAACAAAGGCAGAGACAGGGCCATGTGGCTGGGTTTCTGGGGCAGATGCTGACTAACGCATGTGGTCAGAGATGCAGCCGGGTGAAGCACTCATTTGCGATGAGCAACCTAGGCTGGGGCAGTGGGGCGGGGGACCAGCAGCACCGTGGTCTGATGCAGATCCCCAGATTTCCTCCAGATTACAGTGAACCCAGATGGAAGTCACAAAGTCAGCCCTCCAGCTCCTGGGCTTAACACACACAGACTGTGGACTGATCTTCAAGGATACAAAATGAGGGTAACAACGGGGTTGGGGGTGGGGACAGTGGGGAATCAACTCAACCTTCAAAGACTACATGGTTTGTAGAGCTACCAAGAAGCAGAGGCAGGTGATCTGCCCCACTCCAAACTCAAGTAGGAGCTTTCCCAGATGATCAGGGGCAAATTCCAGGGGGCAAGGGACAAACACCTGACGTGCAGAATCCTGCCTGATGCAACCTCTAGTTACCTTCACCGTATCAGCATAGTAACAAGCGCACCTCCAGTAGAGACATAGGAGACAAGTGTTACATGAAGTGGCCACCTCCATGCGCGACAACATCAAGAGACCACTCCACCCATGGGTGCCATAACAGCGGTTCACTTTTGTCCATTGGGCCATCTGGGCTCCCGTCCCTCACAGTTTTCAGCCTCATGTTTGAGTGCAGAATTAAAGCCTTATTCCTGCACCAAAGTGCTCTGTCTGATTGGTAGCACAAGAACCCCTGAAGCCAGGAACAAGGTGACCAAAAAAGAAGGGAACAGAGCACCAAGGTGAAGATTCAGAGGAAATAATACTCTCAGACTTCTCTCACTATGACCGCTAAACTAAAAATTCAATGGGAAAAGAGATTTGGAAAGTCAATGGAAAAGTCCAATATCCATTCATGAAAACCAGGGACCAAGATGCTCAAAAAAAACCCCTCTGAAGCACCAGAAATAGAAAGGAGTATCTTTAATCTGACAGAGAATATCTGCATGAATATTGATATTTTTCTCTTTAAGGTTGAGAAAAAGATAGACAGACACCCACTCTCAGCACTTCTGCTCAGCACTGGAAATCTTAGCTGGTGCAGTAAAGCAAGAGAAGAAAGCACAACATGGAAGCACTGGAAAGGGAGACATAAGACCATCGCTATTAGCAGCAGCACAACTACTGAAAACACACCACAAATGATCAGAATTAGTAAGCAGACTTTAAGAAAGTTAATGGATACAAGACCAGAAAACAATCAACTGTAAAGCTTGGAGTGGTGGTGCATGCCTGCGATCCCAACCCTCGGGAGGTTAAAGCAGGAGGATGTCAAGATTTCCTGCAAGGTCACAATCATTCCAAGGGAGGGCTGGCACAAGGACAGACCTGTCAGCCAGCTGGACAGCCAGCTGGACACACCCAGGCCCCTAACCTCTTCCCAGCGCATGACAATAAACTGTGCTAACCTTGTCAGCAGAGTGAACTAGAGTAGTCACGCTGGAGAACTGTCAGGTGGTACCCATGCCCAACTGCGTGCCCCTCCGGGACTTGGCAGATATGCTAGGACGTTCGCTGCACCGTCGGCTCCACCACAGCCCCTGAACTGGGAGCCATGCAGTGTCCAGCAAATGCAGAAGGGCGGCGTAGACGCTAGCCACACACTAGCGGCTAGGCGGAAGAGTGGTGCACAGCGCCACGTACAGCAGCCGACTCACAACAGAGCGCCAAAGAAGCGAAGCCAGACAAAAAATCCTACTGTATGATTCCACGGGCGTATGTACACAATAATGAACATATATGTCATTGTATAAAATTGCTTATATAAAAGATAAAAGGGCCAGGTGTGAGGAGGCGCATGCCTGTAATTCCAGCTCTTGAGAGGCTGTGGCAGGAGGATCACTGTGAGTTTGAGGCCAGCCCGAACTGCATAGTGAGACTTGTCTCCAAAAGACAAAAAAAAAAAGATAAAAGAAGAAAGGCAGAACTAACCTAGTCCACACTGGGTACAGCAGTGACTGGGAGACTACAAGGGTTTCAGGGTGAGTACGACTTGTGCTGGGGGCTGGTTACATGGGCGAGGGTGGATCGTGCAGTCATGGAGCTGTACCCTTAGGACGCACTTACGTCTCTGCACGTACAGGCTACGTGGATAACGAAGACCTTACAAGTCAGTAGTAATCGATTACAGCCCACAGAATCAAGGAAATATTTATGAATCCATACTGGTATAAATAAGTAATTGACTACATAAATAAATGAGAGAGAAGAGGTATTTTTACAGCAGAATTCTGCTAAATAAATGCAAGAGGAGTGACGGAAATAGGCATGTTACTATTGCCACAGGCAAGGATCATTGGTGGACGCTGAAGTCTGATGAAGTACAGGATATCTGGAGTCTCAAAGCATCTCCTCAAGATCGTGATTAATGAGAAAGGGGAAACTTAGGACCTTACCGTGGGGAAGCCTGGCAGATACCACTTTGCCAAGGACCATGGTGTCACCAGGCATGAGACACAGTGTGTGGCTCATCCCATGTGCTAAGGAGGACACAGTGGCACTTCTGTGGTCCTGCAAAATGACTGACCTCTCCTTCCGCATGGGATGAGCCTGATCAAACCCAACTGAGAGACATTCCACAAAATACACGACCAAGCTGGGGGCAGCGGCACATGCCTGTAATTCCAGCACCCAGAAGGCTGAGGCAGGAGGCTTGCTGTGAGTTCAAGGCCAGCCTGGGCCAGAAAGTGAGCTCAAGGCCAGCCTGAACTGCATAGCAAGACACTGTCTAGAAAAAACAAAACAAAACAAAGACTTGGCTAGTGTTCTTCAAAGCATCAAAGGTATGAGAGGAAGGAGGACAGGACTGAGAAACTCACAGACAGACGCTCCGATGACACAAAAACTAAATGTAATGTGGGATTCTGTATAGGCTCCCAGGCCAGAGCAAGGCAGCAGAAAAGAAGCTTGCAAAACACGGGACAATTCTTTGGATCGGGTACTAGTGCTACGCCAGCACTCATTTCCTGGTTTTGAAAACTGTTACCTAGGACAGCAACGCTGTAGGAGACTAGGGAGTGTAGCTGGGGTCTCAGGACTCTGTGACTTTTCTAGAAGTTTAAAATGATTGCACAGTAAAGAGTTAAAAGAAAAGCCCTCAGTGGGAAGGCCAAATAACAAAACAGGGAACAAGTACATTAGAAGACAACTTAGCCAGAATGTGGTGTGGAGAGACAAGGGGATTAAGACTACGAATTGGAGACGTGGAAAGAAAGTGTGCAACATTCGTTTCATTGGAATCCTAGCATCAGAATAAAAGTAGGACTGGGGACACCGCTCTGGGGCTACAGAGCCTGTCTAGCATATGTGAGGCCTTGGGTTCCATCCCTAGTATCACACCCACACACGCATGCACATACGTGTGTGCGTGACACAGTATCATTAGCTTGGATGAAACAAGGAAATCCAGCCATATGCTGTTTATAATACTCATTTAAAACATAGTAACAGGGCTGGAGAGATGGCTCAGTGGTCTAAAGCACCTACTTGGAACAAGCTTGGCAAAGCACAGGGACCACGGTTCGATCCCCCAGCACCACATGCCAGCCAGCCCCGCCCCCTGGTGGGCTGAGCTGGCCACACAGACACACACACACACACACACACACACACACACACACACACACACAATAAATAAATATAAATAAAAAAAAATAAAACATAGTAACATAGTCTAAAAGTGAAGAGATTGCTGGGCGTGGTGGTGAATGCCCGTGATCTCAGCATTCAGGAGGCTGAGACAGGAGGTCTGCCTTGAGTTCGAGGCCAGCCTCAGCTACACCGTAAGTTTAAGGGCAGCCTGAATTATAGAGCAAGTTGGTGTCAAAAACAAAACAAAACAAACATGAACCAGAGACGGCAATGGATATCAGGACAGGACAGAACAGAATAGCAGCCCTGGGCCCCGTCTTAACAGCCCTAGTGGCCCCACTTGTGAAGCGCCCGGGGCTGCAGCACCCCACCCCAAGTGGTCCTTCTGATGTCCCCTCACCTGGCTGGTGATGTCTGAAGGCATGGGTGAGGGAGGCTTGGAGTAGGTGGCATCCTGGGAGATGAAGCCAGAGTCGTGCGAGGAGACACTGGAGAGGCGGGTGGTGGTGGCTGGCTGCGCCAGGCTGCGGTAGCGACAGGTGGAACTGGGTGAGTATGTTTGGGCGCCCCCAGGCCATGGGGCTCCGCCACCCTTGGCACTGCCACTGCTGCTGGGGGCACTGAGGGAGTGAAGGAGGAGGGCCCAGCGGCCAGGCGGGGAGACACAGGGGTGTGTGTGGAGGGGAGGGCAACAGACGAGGGTGGGAGAAAGGTGAGGGTAAAGGGAGGAAAAGAGAATGTCAGACTATGAGGTCCTGAGGCCCCTGGGACCACAGAGGTGCTGGATTCCGGGATGGGGTGGCGGGGCAGGGGACCCCTAGCTGTGTCGGGGAGCAACGCCGGGGAGCACAGGAGGGCATGCCAGGACAAGGCAGTCTCCTTGCCTTCCCCTCTGCCTTAAGAACATTCGTCCTTAAGTTAAAAATGGGTAAAAGGAATCAGCAGGCATCAACACAAAACAAGTGACACAAGTGTGGGCATTGCCAAACTCTGCCAGTCCAAGTGGACATTCAGCTCTGGGCATGGAGGTGGCAGGCCCCCTTGGGGGGCCTGGAGCCCACTGCCCTCCTCATCCCCTCTCCTGAGGACAGCCAAGTGCTCTATGGCTCTGACCCTCTGTTCCACAAAGCCCTTTCTGCCCTAGGCTGTTTCCTGGCAGGGAAGGCTGCCTTCCTCCTGAGTGTGACCCTGGAGTCTCCTGACCCCCCTCCTTTGCCATGGGTCACCCTGAGATCAACACTTCTTCCTGGGATGGCCACCTGTTCAAGGTTATAGGCGGCTCCAACAGCCCCAGGAAAGAAGTGACCGCTAGGCCTGGCCTCTCCGGTAGCAGCCTGCCCTGTGCGCAACGTCCTCCCTGTCTGCAAGCCTTGATTCCTAAGTCTGCTCCAGTGCTAGCATGAGGGAGGACGTCCCAACCAGAGCCAAGCTGGTGGCTGGGTGAGCTTCTGGGCCTTTCTCTGGCTCTGAGATCCTGGGGCGCCCAAGGATGGAGCTTGAGGTAGCTGCCTGGGCTTTAGCTCCAGGAAACAGACAGACTGCGGCGGAAGGGACCTTTACCTTGTGACCTCAGTACTGGTTCCCAAACACCTTTGCACCCTTCCCTGATCTTAGCTTCTTACTATCACCCTACTCTGTCCCAGGCTTGGTAAGAGTCCAGTGGTTACAAGCTAGGACCTTGTGCCTCAGTCTCTCAATGTGCGACATGGAGACAACACTATGTCTGACACAGGGGTGTTAGAATTCACTGAAGAAAATGTGTGGCACCTGGCACATAGTTAGTACTCTGCAATGGAGGCTACTGTCATCTCCTTTCTGCCAATAAATGCATGCTCCAGCAGCACTCTTAGGACAGATGGCTGGGCAGGTTTCCCCTGTGCGCTTGACAGTTCCTCAGGTACTGGACAGTGGTGTGGACTCCCGGACCGGAAGCAGTCCTGATGCAGCTTTGCTGGGTGCTTGCCTGTTTCCTCCTAGAGTTGCCATTCCTATGCATGAGCCCTCTCCCCACCAACCTGCACATGCTGGCCTTCCGGGAGCTGGAGCTGCTGGGTGATGAGGGCGGGGTCTGGTAGGACCAACTGTAGTCTGAGCCCTTTAGGTCTTTGATTACCTGCATGGGGACATGGATGGGGGTTGCTGAACTAGAGGCAGCCTCTCACCTGCAGAGAGCCTTACGGGTTTTCAGGGCCGCTCAGCAAGGTGCTAAGGCTAGCTGCCCCCTGTTCCTGACTTAAGCATCTCTGGCCTCCCCCCAGCCTCTGCTGAAGCAAGCTCCTTCCTGGGCTGAGAGATGCACACACACTGCACATGCCATGACGCTGTCTTCTCTGAGCCCCTTTAGCTCACACAGACTATGGGTTTGGGAACTCTGAGCCCAGCCCAGGCCAGGCAGGGGACAGGAGAGAAGAGGACACAGGTCACTGGCAGAGGAGCCAGGACATGAGAGACGCTCCAACTCTCTACTTTCTCCTATGAACTGGGGCCAATAGTTCTCATCTTAGGGCACACCAGGAAGCTTCAATGATCTGTCCCGTGGAGGGCGCTCAGCAAGGTGCTGGCCACTCAGGTGGTGCCGACGTGTGCTGTGCCACGTGGGCTGTGCAGTGGGACAATGAAGCACATAGGTATGCTTGGGTCTAGGGTAGGTGACAGGGTTTCTGGGTGTGGGTGGCAGCCAGGGCCTACAAGGTTTGTAAGGGCCAAGCCCCAGAAATCTGATCTGGGGTTTCCACGCATCTGCTCTCCACGTGAGACCTCTGTGGGCCCTGCGCAGTCATCCCTCACCTGGGCCTGTGCTCCTGGGCAGTCCCACAGTGGCTGCCGGAAGGGATCTGTTCTGTTCTCCTACATTCCTGCCCCAAATGCTGTCCCTTTCTCTCCTCTATGGACCCAGCTGAGGGTGGGACCTGCCCTGCCCCGGTCCTCAGCCACAGGGCGCATCACACCTGCTCACTGGCGGGAGGCAGCTTGTGGGGTTCCGCGGTCAGCACCACCAGGTCGTCGATGATGCCCTGCAGGTGGGTGATCTCGCCCAGCATGGTCAGCTCGCCATTCTGAAGAAGCAGCCCAGGAGACCCGATGGTCCGGTCATTCACCTGCGCAAGTCTCTCCCCTTACCCCACCTGGCTGGCAGCGTCTCCAGGGCTGGCCAGATGCCCATTCAAGACTAAAGCAGTGTGTGTTGAAGTACCACATCTGATTTTAAGAATGTGGCCCTGGGTAGACTCAGGGATCACAGACAAGTGTCACCAAAGGTCAGGATGTCTCCTTGGGGCTAGCCCTGCTCCCTGGGGCCCGATCCCCTGGAGACGCACCACTACAGGCTGCAGGAAGGTGATGAAGGTACAGAAGCGGCCTCGCTCCTCAATGAGGGCCCGGCGCACAGCCTGCTTCTCTGTCTCCTCCAGCAGCAGGTACATGTCATTGACGTCCTGCAGGGCACTGTCCAGCTGGGGCTGCAGGTCTCCTTTCCCTGGGGAGTATGGAGGAGATGCCGTGCTGGGGGTGCTGGCCCAGTCTGCTATACCCAGGGTGCCAGCCCCCACGGTGGCACCCCTGGCCATGGGGCTGGGCACTACCAGGGGAAACCAGGGGACTGGGGAAGGTGGACTGAGGGGCTGGTCCCAGCAGAGCAGGCAGAGAGGATGGATGGATACATGTACGGGGAAGACACCACGCCGTACAGCCACAGGCTCTGGGCCAGGCCAGACTGGCCATGCAGGCCCCCACGCCCAGGATGCCCTTGCTGGCCCCTGATGTCACCCCTTGTCTCCCAGGCACAGGGCAGTGACATGGAAGCAGGGCAAAGGCTCAGCTGTAGGCCAGGCCCTAGGAGGTGCAGGAGTCAGGATAGCTCAGAGCGTGGCCTAGGGAGTGGTGCCGTGTGGGCCCCATGGGGCTTGGGAAGCAGTGCACGCGGACACATAGCGACATGGAGAAGCAGCAAGAGAGACAGAGAGAGGTAAGAGGATAATGTGGAGGCAGCGGTGAGGGGAAGCAGGAAGTAACAGAGACGGAGCTGGCTGGCCTGGTGGAGACAGCGTGCCCCAGCCTGCCTGGCCCAACCCACCGACCCCTCCTGGCCTGGCAGACTGACCCGCAGAGGCCTGGGACTCAACCCTGGCCTGGGCCCCAGGGGCCCAGGGGACTGTGGCCCAAGCCCCTCCCTCGGTGCACAGACCACTTTCTTGCTCCTCCTTGGCCTGGAGAGGGTCCTTCCAATGGCCCTGAGCTGGGGGTAGACAGACAAATGCGACAAGGACAGGAGGAGCAGCTGGAGGGACGGACATTTGACTTACCAAGTAGCTCTACAGGAAGGATGTGGAAGGAGGAGAGGAGGAGAGACAGAGAAAGAAAGAATGTGTGAAAGACAGCCGGATGGACAGGGCCACTCCTGGGGCGGGGCGGGGCCTGGGCCTGGGGATGGGTCCTGCTGTCTCCCAAGGGATGGCCTGGGCTGGGCTGGGGGGCAGGTTGCTCCTTCTGTCCCACCCGGCAGGCTGGAGGATCTCATGTGGGGGACAGGGCTCCTCTGGCCACAGTGATGCCCTGGAGGTGCCCACTAGGCAGTGGGGGCTCGAGTGGGGCCGCGGAACTGAGCCTCAGTGGGATGCTCTGGGCTTTACCTTTGCGCGCTTTCTTCTGCAGCTTCAGTGTATCTGACGACTTCTTCTTGATCTCATGACGGGCTCGTTTGTACTCTGCAGCAGGTAAAGAATAAGCTATAAGGCCAGAGGTGGTTGGTGGTGCACACTTGGGAGGCTGAGATGGGACGATTGCTGTAAATTGGAGGCCAGCCTGGGCTACAAAGTGAGTTCAAGGCCAGCCTAAACTACACGGTGAACAACTCCCAAAAAACAAAAATAGCAAAAGAAAAAAGAGGCTACCATAGGATTCCGGGGGCGGGGGGACCCAGATGAGGTCCTGTCCCACCTTTCGCGTGGTCCTTGTCCAGCTGGTTGGCTGACTTCTTCCAGTCCTCGATGCGCTCCTGCAGTGGGTTGATGAGGCTCTCCAGCAGCGCACTGTGGGCGGGAGCTGGGGTCAGGCTGTGGAGAGGGGAGTCTCAGGGGCTCGGGAGCACCCTGCCACACCTACTCACTTGGTGAACTGCCGCAGCTTGGTCTCAATGCTGCGGTGGCGCATGCACATGCGCGTGAGTGCTGAACCAATGTCCCGCGTGGCCCCTGGCAAGTCAAGGGCACAGCGTGGGCTTGGGCCAGGGCCTCCGCAGTCCCCTCTGTGGCCACAAGGGGGCAGGCCGGCTAATAAAGACTGAGCCCTGCAGGGAGCCCCACCAATGGCCATCCTGCAGGGCACAGGAACCAGGGCCCAGCCATCCTGACTTCGGGCAGCTGCTTGCGTTGCTGGTTAGGATGGAGCCTCCTCTCTGTCCCAGCTGGAACAGGCCTGCCCCAGGAACAGCCCATAAAATTCCCTAGCAGCCCCATAGGAGCCCCTGTGGGAGTGCCCAGATGGGGTGTGAGGGCACCAGCCAGGGTTCTCACCAGTCCGAGGACCAGGGCCCTAGGAACTGGAGATGAGTAAGAAAAGGCCAGAGACTCACCACAGAGGAGGATGAATGGCTGCCGAGGGGTCACCAGCACAGAGGAAGCCCCTGCCCAAGTCTTCCTGCCTCCACTCCCCATTCCCATGTGCATGCCCCTTGTGACGAAGGGCTCATTGCACAACCAGCCCAGCCTCCTCTTGGGGCCTGGGCTCCTGTCCCTGGCCCATGCCTGACTCGGCCCGCGCTCTGCCCGCCCACCCCACATGTTGCTAGCTAGCTCTGCCCATCCCCACCTCTGGTGTTGGTGGCCATGTCAGCCACTTTCTGGAAGGCATCCAGGAAGGCCACAGCAGCCAGCACAGTGGTCCTGTGGAGGTGGTGGCCAGTCAGTGGGTGAGGGGCGCCTCCTCTGCCCGCCCCTCCCCAGCAGGGGTGCCACACAGCCTCACCTCAACTGGGAATGCAGCTTGGTGGCTTTGGAGTTGAAGTCCTCCCAGATGGGGTAGGAGCTCTGCCAGGGGGTGGGGAGAGGAAGGGAGAGTTTTTTGACGGTGCTGTATTCTCTACATGCTGTCCAGACTTGAGGCCTTTTTTTTTTTTTTTTTTTTTTGAGATAGGATTCAAACTCATGGTGATCCTCCTGCCTGAGCTTCATAAGTGCTGGGATTAGAGGTATGTGCTGCTAGGCTTTGAGGCAATCTGAGAGTGGCCATGGCCTAGGGGACAGGAAGCTTGGTCCAGGCATGAGGGAGGCTTGGGCTTGGCTCATCCTGCGTCCTCCCTCTGGGGAGATGCAAGCAGCTGATGGCAGGTCCTGTGTCTTGGCTCTCCAGGGGTCTGGCAGAGATCTTAGCATCATTGACCCCAGACACCGCTAGGATGGTAGGCACCAACCTGTTGCCCACCCTGGGGGCAGAGGCTCCCGTGGAGGCTAGAGGCTGGCAGGGCTCACGACAGCCAGGTTGATGGGGGCTCCGGAAGCTGTTGCCGGCCGGCAACCAGCCCAGGCTAGTAGCAGTGGCTCCTAGGCCTGGGGAGACCGAGGCTGCTGCAGGGCCTGGCCAGCCTGCCCAGGACAACCAGGCCTGGGGCTGAATGGGGCCTTGTGTGGGCAACAGAGCCACCTTTCTCCACCCCCCACTCCCCTCCCCTCCAGGGGAAACAGTGTGGCCTTTATCCCAGCCTGGCCCAGGGTTCCTTGCTGGGAGGGGGTTTCCCAAAAGGGAGGTCGGGCTCCTGATGACCAAGTTGTCCAGTCTGATTAAGGGGCTTTTCTGGCTAATATGTTCTCCCCACTGATGCGGGGTATGGAGGAAGCTCAGCTCTGGGCTGAAGGCACTGGGGAGGCCTTGCATTCGAAGGGCAGCCCTGGTAGAAAGGGCTTAGAGGATGGGGGTGGGGGAGGTGGAGCTTTTCCCAAGAGAGGGGCAGGCAGGGACTCCAGGCCCTAAAGGCTCAGAGGCTTTGCTTGGCGACAGCCACAGGGAGGGTTGGAGCTGGCCACTCCAGGCCGAGTCCATGGTGGGGGGGGGGCAGCAGAAAGGACCAGGGCTGCTTTAGGAACCTCACAAATGCCCTCCCCTCATGGCCTAGCTCAGCCCGTGTCCAGGGAAAGCAAATATTTGAGAAGTGCGTCGAGGCTGGAACAAGAGGAGGTGGCTGTGGGTGGGCTGTCCTCACACAGGCACAGGGCAAACGGGCCTGGGAGGCCGTCCCTCTTGGTCCTGAGGAGCTGACCAGGTTTTGGCCAGCAGGGGGTTCTGAAAGGGGGACCCCCTCCCACCACCTAGGCCCCACCCAGCCTGGACACTGCTAAGACCTCCCCCTGCCAGGTACCGAGAAAATGCTCCTTCCTGGGCCGAGACAGGACACTCCCTGGTGCAGTCCCTGGGACACCCTAGGCCCCTAGGTATCCCCAAGATAGTTGCAGAGAGCTGTCCCAGGGGAGGGGAGCTAATAGGGTGTGGGAGACATCAGGCCCAGTGATTCTCTCTTCTTTATCTCCAAAAGTCATAAAGGATCTGACAAAGGGAGAAGAAAGGGCCTGAGCCGGCCAGTGCCCCGGTGGGGGTGGGGGTGGGTCCTGGTACCCTTGAGTCAGAGCCAGGCCCTGGGCTTTGCAGTGAGTGAATGGTGCGGCCTAGAACTGTCTCCTTTCACTGATGGGGAAATGGGGTGTTGCTGATGTTAGGTAACTTGCTGGGGCCACAGGGGGTGAGGTGGTAGGGGTGGAAGGGATGGGGATGGAGTCTGAGTGTGATCCCCACACCTGACGGGTGTGGGTTTCCAGAGTATGGGGAGGGACAGATGGGATGGATGGGGCTGCTGCAGCCCAAATGTGCACTGAGGAGCAACCCAGGCTCTATTCCAGAAAGGGGGCTTTCTAGGTGACTAGGCCTGCTTTCATCACTTGTACATTCAGGAGACAGACCTCCTGCTGGGGTCAGGCATGAACTCCAGGGGGCACTCAGTGCAGGGAACACGCCTGACATGGGGCCTGGCAGGTGGGAAGCGTGGCTGAGAGCCACAGGCACCACCTCTGGGAGGCGTCCTCCTGCTTGGGTGACACTGTCACTCCAGAGTGGGAGGTGAAGAGTATGACCCTTTGGTCTGGATGGAGCCACGCAAGTCTGCTGGGGTGTTGTGCCCGAGTCTATTGGCCGGGTCAGTCCCTGACCACTCTGGGTGAGTAGTTAGTGACCCAGCCCTGAGCTTTTGGCCTCCTATGGCTGTCCAAGCTCTCCCTTTCTCCCTTTGCCATCCTTAGCCCAGGGCTGGGGCCCTGTGGACTCTCTCAGTCTTTGGATCTGGACGGCCAGCCCACAGCCCATGAGGACTCCAGCCCCCTGGCCTCTAGGTGGCCCAAACCTTGCTCTGTTCCTGAACACATGCCTGTGTCATCAGCCTGTGGCGTCCCCACACTTGAACAACTCCCATTTGCCTCCCATTGCAAATCCCACCACCACCTGGCTAGGGCCTCCCACTCCGACCTGATCGATTGTCCTGAGCCCTACTGGCCTTGCCCTCAAGTTCCTTGTGGTTGGCAGGGAGTGAGTGGACACAGTGCAGCTTCTCTCCAGGCAGATGCGGCTGCTGCTGCAGTGTATGCTGTGCAGCTGCCAGCTGGAGGAGATGTGGGCAGCTCCCACCCTCAGCTGGCCCAGCGGTGGCCAACCGAGGTGGTCTGGGCTGCCAGCGCCCGAAAGGGCTGTGATGGCCACATGCTGCTGAGGGCCAGTAGAAGGGACTTGGACGTGGAGATGCCAGGGTAGAGGTTGGGGAACTGTGTGCCATGGTGTGGGGCACTCACATGCTGTTCACTGGGCAGTCGTATCAGGGTGGCTTCAGGAGTCTTCCTTTCTCAGGGGCAGGGATCTGGCAGCTGACCCCCATCTCCAGTACTGGGAGGAAGCCCCAAGCTCTTGCCTGCCTGCAGCTGTCCACCTCCTAAAGTGGCCGCCTGGAACTCTTGGGTGGGTCAAACTAGAGTACGTGGTGTCTCCCCTCCCTGCCCAGGCCCGGTAGGACTGGGCAGTATACTTGGGGAGTATATGTGCAGTAGGAAGTGAGGCCCTTGGGGTTCTTATGGGAACCCAGATCTTGGCCCATTCTTCCATCCTGCCCCATCATCCTATGACAAAGAAGGGACCAGAGGAGAAGGGTAGGAGCGCTGGTTCCTGCCCCTCCCCTGTCACTGGAGCTGGGCCCTCTCTGGAGCAGTCAGTGTTGTCAAACCCTGGTCTCTTTGGGGGAGATGAACAATGAGAGCTAAAGTCAGGGCAGGGTCCAACATTCTCCTTAATGACCTTGAGTCATTCCTAGGCCTCAGTTTCCCCACCTGGCAGGGTGAGCAGAAACTGGTGGCCTGTTCCTACCTGACCTTGGGTAATCAGCATAAGTGAGGGGGGCTTGGTGCCCACAGCCTGGGTAAGAACAGTAAGAAAAGCGCTCCCATGGGGTGGTGCCTCCAGCCCTAGCCTTGCTGCCTGGCTCCCAAGGTGATGATAAGGCCCATCCTTGGGATGTAGGGACATCCAGCCCAGAGACCTTGGAGTCTGGTAGCTAGCTGGGGTGGCTGCGGAGGGGGGCTGGTGGTGGCTGGGCAGCTGTCGCAGGGTCGGGCCAAGGCCGGTGGGGAAAGAGTTAATGGTCTCTTTTATTATTTTTTTTCCTGCTTCGGTAGTGACAGCATTGTCTGGGTTCTTGGGTCATTGGGGGTTGACCGGCATTGTGGTGGAAGGGAATGGAGACTGGAGGGACCCCAGACTTGTTCAAAGGCCATAGAGACGAGGCCCTGGGGCCAAATCCCATTCATGGTTTGGGGGTCTGGGAAGCAGAGAGCCCTAGTACGCGCAGGCTCAGAGCTGCTCCTCGCGGGGCCCTGGGCACTGCACGGGGACCCCAACCCACGAGCACCCACACCCCCTAGACAGGCACCCAAAGACCTGGGCGCAAGGGGATGCTGGCTGGGCGCGCTGACACAAGGACGCGCCGATACCGCAGGGTACGGCCACCCGCTGCCACGCGTCCCCAGAGGGCACCAGCGACCGCGCGCCAGGTCCCGCCGCACCCCGGTTACCTTCATGTCGTTGACGATGGCCTGGAAGAGCCCGCCCAGGGCGCCACACTCCTTTTCTGCTGTCTCCATGCTCGGGCCGGGCGGGCCGCGGCGCCGGGCGCTCAGGGGCGCAGGGGGCGTAGGGGAGGGGCCGTGCCAGGCCTCGGGGCGCTTGCTCCGGCCGCTGGGCCTCCGCCTGCAGC